CTCACGGGAGACAACAAAGAAAGAAGCCGTCCTTCGCTTCCGGAACCAAACTGGGGACAGCCCGCGGCCGCCCGCTCCTTCCCCTGGCTGCTGTCCTTGTTCTCAGGAACACATTTCACGCGTTGTCCCTCGGAGTCGTAAAACTTTTCCCGTCCTTGAAGGCGTGGTGATGCTGGCTCCTGCTGTCCCCGTCCGGTCCTTTCAAGTTTTGTTGTGTCCTAGGAAAACTTCTTGCGACGGTGCATTTCTCTGAAGTTGCTATTGCCGGAGCTCTTGGTTACCTCTGAAACAAGAGTCCTTTTTCATTCTCCTCGCAACAGTCACAGTCTGAGGCGACATCTTTCCTTTTGGGCAGAAATGAGGAAACACATATAACAAGGAAAAAAAATGGAACAGGAGAAAAATGAGGTCGAATGGCTCTGTTACCTTGTTGCCGAAGGTTGGGGTTGGTGTTTTATTTTTTCCCCAGCAGTTGTCTGGAGGAGGAGGAAGAAGAGGAGGAAGAAGAGTGCATTGGTGGAGGTGGAGGGGTGTGTGTGCATATAGGGGATCCTGGAATACACAACCAACTCCAGTGGGCACGTTGCGCTGCTCGTAGGGCGCGCGGACGGCGCTGGCGCGGGCCCTGCCGGAACGGAGTTGCCGCGGGAGCTCGCTCTGCGCCCTCGTTCGCGCTCTCTCTTCCTCTCTCACTTTCCCTCTCCCTCCCTCTCTCTCTCCCTCTCTCGCCCGCCCGCCGGCTCGCTTGCGCTCGGATCTGACAGTTCGCTCTCCGTCCCTCCCTCTCAGAGCGGGGACTGTCGAATGTTTACCCTCCACCGCGAGCGCGCACCCACCACCACACTTTCCCAAATACAAGGAAGTCGAGCGCCAGGGCCCCCGCTGATTGGCTACCCGCTGGGTGATTGGCAGGCCCGGAATGACTGGCTCAGGACGCGAGGCCCCCCTTCCGGCCGTTTCGATTGGTTGCTTTTTAATTTAGGCAGAGCATCGTAGATGCTGGAAATCTGTCGTCCCCTAGGCTCCCTTCCCCTCGCCACTTTCTCCTCCCTGCCCCTCCCCCGCCACCCCCTCCGCCGCATCTTAACTCTTAGCGTCCGGCTGAGTCGTCGGCGTCCCCTCCGCGGCTCTGGGCGTTCGCTTAGAGGTCTGGGAGGAGGGAAGGAAAGGGGAGAGAAAGGGAGGGAGTGACGGAAGTTGGGGGTGGGTGGGTGGTGAGAATCAGAAGGAAAACGAAGAGGGGAAAAAAATAATGAAAAATAGTAACCTACCCACTCTACCTAGGACTGCGTGGTGTGGCTGCCCTCCCCACATCTCCATCCCAGAAATTTGTGAAGCGCGCGGCAAGGATGCACCATCAACACTAATACCTATAGACAGATGTGTCCCCAGTGGTTTCAAAGTTTCCTTTTTCCTTCACCAGCCGGCCCCCATCTCTGTCTCGGCGGGGGTGGGAAGAGGGAGCTCGCCGCGCCAAGAGCTTGGGTCGTGGCCACGCTCCTTGGAAATCCGCCACCGCAACTTTCCGCAGCCGCTGCGCTCCGGCGGCGGCCCCCTTTGTTTAAGTTCTCGGATGCCATCATCTGGGAAACCTGCAGCCCCGGACCAGCGCGGTGCCCGCGCGTGCGAGACCGACCGCTTGCTGCCGCGGCTGCGCTCCCCCACCCTCTTCTGCCTCGCTCCCCCCTCCCTCCCTCTCTCCCTCCTCCCTCCTCGGGGATTCAGGCAAGTAGAGTGCGTGCCCTTGTGAGTTTGGAGGGTGCCGGTCAGCGGAGCCAGGCGATGTATTTGAAAAGCAATCAGGCCGACCTTTCCCCATACATACATCGTAAGTGTATGTGTCCACCCTAGTGGCTTTAGGAATTCCCGTTCCACAGGAGCCGGCCTAAAGAACCGGGATCCACACGCCGCGCCCTCCACCGTTCATTCTGTGTGTGTGTGTGTGTGTGTGTGTGTGTGTGTGTGCGCGCGCGCGCGCGCATATGTACATATTTTTTTCAGTGTGGTTATTGTGGTGGGGTTTGCTCGTTCTCTATTCTTAGGCACGGTGTGCTTTTTCTTTCTTTTCTGTCTCCTTTGGGTTGGCGTAGTGGATGGGGCTGGCGGTGACAAACGCTTTCCCAGCCCCAGCCCGGCTGAAAGAGTTAAGGGGGACGGGCGGGGGAGTGCGCGGGGTAGGCGGGAGAAGCGGGGGTGGGGGACGCGGCCAAGCGGAAACGCTGCACAGAGGACCTCAGCGAACCAAGAAAAAAGAGAAAGTGGCAACGAAAACAAGGGCAAATTGAACCCTCCTCGGGGATTTCCAATGAACTAACCCAACTCGGACATTCAATAAATACATCGTTCCTAACGAGTATGCATGTGCGTGTGCGTGCACCCCGCACCCCAGCTGCGGAGCGCCCGCCCTGCGCCTGTCGCCCCAGCCTGATCCTGCGACCGGCAGCCCCCAGCTCCAGCGGCGAGCGCCGGAGCCGCGGCGCTGGACGTGGATGCGGAGCCGCCGCTGTGCTTCGATTAAAATGTGAACGGGGCTGCCCTTCCCTCCCGGGAAATAAGTCCTCTGCTGGGCGCAGTTAGGTGAACTCAGTTAAAGCCGGAGAACCCAGCCGCAGTCACGCAGCTCTTGCGTGATGTCCAGATTAACCGTAGACGCGTAGAATTTATGTAGGATCTTGTCCAGCTCCTGCTTGCCGGGGGAGAGATACCATCGTAGGTAGGTTTTAGCAAAGCCATTATTGCTAAGGTATAGATCTGAAAGGCAGCGGTAACCAAACCCCAAACAGCACGGATTTTTTCCTTTGGGTTCCCCTAAGGTTCCTTTTTATATTTATGTATGCGTATATGTATATATAAAAGATGGAACACAGATTTCATTGAATAAATCTGAGATCTCCAGGTGCAGACGTTTGAATAGTCGGTGCCCGCACCCCGTGTTTTCCTTTCCTGCCGATTTTGCTTGGATCCGGCTCAAAAACCGAGAGAGTCTCGTGGTTTTGTTTACACTGAATGGGGAGGATAGGAACAGAGCCATGGGGCCGTCTTTCATTAATATACAGTGAGGATTTTGTCTAAATTACTGCTATGAATTTCACAGTACACGCTTTCAAAAGCAGTCTCAGGTGGCCTGATGAAACGTGATAGCGCCTCTGCAAACAGATCCACTTTCTTTCTTTTCAAGGAGGGTGTGTGTGCGAGTGGGAAGCCCCCCAAAACCATGTGCTCCTCGATAAGAGAAATGCACTTCTGTTCCGAGGTCTGTCCCCTTCGTACCCCCCTTTCCTCCTACTTAGTTCTCCAGTCGCTCCCTTTGCGAGTGTGATTGTTTTGTCTGGAAAAAAAATCCAAAGTATATAACAAGGGGAGAACAGTTAGTGCTGATTTTCATTTGCATACATTTTCATATATTTTGGTGAAAATAATAGACTAGTGGAGAGCTGGGCTTAGAGGAGTCAGTGTAAAGGGAAGGCTAAGGATGCATCGGTTCTGGGGAGTTGAGAATATGCCTTCCCCCCTCCAGTCACCTTATTAAAAAAATAATAAATCATCTTTATTTTAAAGTCTAACCCGGAAGTTTGCTCGGTAAGTGTTTTTTTATTTTCTTTCCCTGCTTTCTCTTTTTCTCCCCCTTCTTTCCGGTTTATGTATGCTCTTTTAGGTTTGGAAGCTTATTTTCATTGCTTGGGACAAGAGAGGGTTCCAGAGCAACCGTTTTGAAGGAAGGAAAGGAAAGTGTGTTGGGGGGGCGGAGAGAGTAAAAAAACAAAACAAAACAGCCCTGCTAAAATATTACATAAAAAGATGGACTCACTCCAAAGCTCCCACAGCAAGGCACTTTTTGGGAGTGGGGGGTGGTGGCAAGGGAGTTACTATTAAATTTAATTGTTGATTGTGAGGAGAAAAAGACCCTAGAAAAAGCAGTGATTAAAAAGCACACAGTACTACAAATATTCCTTGTTTGAGGAATTAAAAAAAAAATCAAGACCAGAGGGAAGAAACTCCCTTTCTGTAGCCAGTGCTGATGTGGTGAACTGTGTGTGCTTGCCTGGGATCCCGGTGAGGGGATTCCTGCTGGGATCAGGGGGATGGAATGGGGGGGGGCTTGGCAAAGGGAGGGCAGAGAGCTGGAGATGCAGGAAGCAGGGGAGGAAAGAAGAGGCAGGAAGTCAGTGCACCCCTGGTTTCTGTCCTTTCTGGGAGCACGGTTTAGGTGCAGCCTCCCAGTTTGGCAGTGAAAGCCCATCAGAAAGAGGGTGATTAATCAAAACTAACCAGGACATCCTACACTTTATTCTTAAAGGAGGCTGGAGCTTGAGCAACGCAAACTAGATCTTACTTTGTTTTCCATATTTGACAACCGGCCTTGCCCCCCTCCTCACTAAACTGTCCTTGGGTTTTGTAAAAATGAAGGGTGCAGTTAATTAGATAAATGTGGCTGGAGAAAGGAGGTTGGCCAAGTCCAAGCCCGTGGTGAACACCTTACCTTCGTAAAATGGGCTGGAGAGGATTCTCAAAGCTTCTTGGTTTTGTTCTTTTTAAAGGAAGCCGCGTCTGGGTGATGAGGAGGTAGACTCAAATGGCTGGAATTTTATTGCACTTTTGTATCCAGGACACCTTGCAATTTAAAATTTGTAATTTCTTTGGCAACAGTTGATGCCAAATCAATGAAATGGTTTGTAAGGAGGGAGGAAGAGGTTTCAGTTGGGGAGGGGGATAAGAATCGCCAGTTTTCCACTCCTTGTTTACGTGCTTGGCAGCCTCGCTTTTGACTGGGGTTAACTCTCTGTGCTCCATTGGACCAGATGCCATATAGAGCTGCTCCCTGAAGATCATTTGTTTCCTTGATGGGGAACATTTCTGAGCAGAGCATATTGGTTGCCATAGAGAAAGAAATAAAAGGAAGAACACTAGTCACATTAAGCTATATGTTTGTGCACTGGGCTTTAGATAAAAGGACCTTGGTTCAGCCAAAGAGAAGAAGCCAAACTAGAGATTTCTAGCGCCACTAAAACTAGCTTTATTTTGTTTTGGACTTTTACAGTTGAAACATATAAGCTAATTTTATTGGTTGTTGTTAATTTTATATGACACGGTTTACTGAACAAAATAAACTTTGGAAGTGCTCAGGAGTCGCACTAGGGACTTGTCAGCAGGGGGCGCACTGACTCGCCTTAGCCGGTACTGAGTAAAATGTAGCTGTTTCAAAAGCAAATCTGCTCATCCAAACTTGCCAAAGGAACAAACCTTTCTGTGCAGATTCACGATGAGGAGTGAATTCGTTGCATAACGCAGGGTTTTAATATGAGGACAATGACTTCCTCATCTCCCACCCACCCATGTCTGTGAAACGGCCCTGAAAGAAACAGTTAAGAAAAAAGATTCGTCCATTTCTCTCAGTGAAGTTTATATAGGAAAACAGAATTGGTTGTGAAAGCAAAAACACTTTTAAAAATGTTAAGGGCACGTAATAAGCTGCTTAAAAGCTACCATTCAGGTTGTAATTTGGGGGGGGGAGTTAAGAAAATAAAATGCGTTCTAAGGTAGTATCTATTAAATAATGAATGTTTTTCAACTTGATACATGCTTTTACTTCAAAATAAAGCTCGGGTTCCTGGAGATTTAGTCAAGGCGTTCAGGATCTCTTCTATCCGTTTGATATTTAATGGCTACTTTAATTCGTGGTACCTCTTATGGTTGTAGAAAGGTTTTGGATTTATCCTTGAAGGAAAGGCTTGTTAGGGAAGAGAAGATACAAAATAGCCATGAGTTAGAGGTAACTGTGGGTTTGAAACTTTTTAGCACAACATTACTTAACACATTGAAGAAAAGTTTTAATAGAGCACCAGGTTTCCGCCTCAGAGGTTTCTAGATACCTCCAATGAAGACTGAACTTTACTGTGGTAAAGGATAAAAAAGATACATGAAAAACTTCCTAAAATAGTGAAGGGCAAATCCTGACTGGTTCTGAGGAGTTAGTTTGTTGCTAACAATTTTCCCAAGGAGATTTAGAGAGCGAGACTAAGAAAGGTAAGCCATGAGTGGCTGGAAGTGAGAAGCTGGCTTCCACACGGTTCACTAGTTCAACGCACCTGTGACTGTGTCACCGAGACTGTTAGGAAGGAGCACATTACGTGAAGCTCTAACGTTCCCCTGGAAGAAGGGGAAAGGCACCTTATTATTTGCAACTCGCCTCCAAGTGAACCAGCTTCCAGCCACGAGCTTTTCTTTAAAACTAGCTTTCAAAAGTCCAGGTTTGGCTTTAAATGGCATTTAATCTAGGAGAGTTGCAAGCTTATGGGACTAATGTAAGTAAAGGAGACATTCCGAAAAGCATTTTAACTCCATGATTTTCGTCTGTAAGCTTTTACATTTAGAGTCAGGAAATGTACTGTCAGGTTTGTGCTAATAAAACAAAGTGGAGAATTGAGGAAACTGTGTAATTTGAGCCCAAACATTGCTTTTTCTTCAGCTCTGTGGACATTTCACACAAAAGACTTCTGGGGGAGATCCACACAAACTGGACAAATGCCTCAAAGCTCTAGTTTACTTTGTACGTCCGGGCCGCTAGACGCATTTAAAAATTATTAAGGAGAAAGAAGACTATTTAGTCAGACATTTTGCAGAGCACTAGTTAAGCCATAATTGTACATATTTAGAGCATAATTTCTGTTCCACTCTTCATGAGATCTGTGATTGTATCTTGGCCGCTATTTACTTTCCTTTTTTTGCAAAGGTACTTAAAAAAAAGCAAACAAAAAACCCCCGAAAGAAACAGAATGTTTGCTCCTCATGATATCTATAGTCTTAGGCTACCTAAAGTAAAAGAAACAGAAAATAATAATTCTGGGTAAAGCAACAAGTTAATTTGAGAACTGACATATTACAGAGACTGCGTTAGCATTCTATAATGATTTGGAGGTGGACACGATCAAGCTGGATATATGAGTTAAGATTCAAAATGCCGGGCAAAGCTACAGACTTTTAATTGTTGAGGATGGTGAAATTGCTTTTGCCAAATGAGAGCATGAAGACCATTACCTGGGTCAAAGGCACACAACACAAAGTGGGTATTTACTCATTTGCTTCCAGTTGAGAATGATAAGGTGCTGGATACCGGGGCAGTGCAGAAGCACACTTGCCATTAGCATTTACAAATTAAAATGTTAAGCATACTCACAGCCCACACTGTGTGCCACACACAAAGGAAAGGGCTCTCCAGTGATGGCTTTTGGGTGGAAATGAGTATGTGTCCTCTTGGCAGTGGATGAGTTGTTTCTTGGTCTTGCTAAGTGTTTTTGAAGCATGCGATGGTTCCCCCCAGTTCTTTGTATCACTTTGATAACTGATTTATCTGATCTGGAGGAAAGGAGCAAGCACTTGGTTTTCTTAGAGGGGTTCTGAAGGAGCGAATATAAATTCAGACACTGTGATTTTTCACCCTAAAGTAAGCAGCTTTACTTCTGATGCTTATAGGACAGCTTTAGGCTCCCGGGCATTACTGATTGGGGAGTCTAAATTAGGAAGGCACGATAAGTTCGTTATCAAGTGCATGCTTTTGAAACAACCCATTTCCAACAGTTTGCCTACTCTAGCTGCGTGCATGCACCTGACAAGTCTGGTAATGAAAGCTACCAATCGCTAGGGAAGCCGTAGCTGATACAATGTGATGGACTAGTCTTGTCTGCCCCCCTCGGCTCCCCACCCCAACCCTCAACACAATGGTCTTCTTCAAATTTAAATTCACAGGACTAGGTAAGGTAGAGCCTGGCTGACTGACCAGAGTGATGATGATGATTTATTAACAAAAACATATGGGTATGTCCTAGCTAGAGAAATATTTCAAGGTCAACTTGAGGTGCTGTGTGTGTGTGTGTGTGTGTGTGTGTGTGTCTGTGTTTTTACAAACAAAACCCAGAAATATTAACTCAGCTTTGCCAGAGGGGTGGTTGGATTTTTTGAGTTTGTGGTCCTAACAGAATTGAACTCTCCTCTCCCTTGGGGACACTCCCTCCCTACCCCAAACAACAGTCCCTATACATTAGACAGTGTTTCCTATCTATGCTGGAACCAAGTAGTCTCACGATGCATGATGCATTGCAGCACATTGTGGAAAAACAACTCTTGCACTTTGGTGCCTGTGGTTTTTTATTATTAGATTTTAAAATATTTGAACTTAGCTGTTATCTGTGGAGCTGGGTGCAGATTGCAGTCTACCAGGCTGAAGTCGGCTCTTTTGGGCAATTCCCCCAAATGGTGCTTCTGTCATGTCTTGTCTCCTGTGAATGCTGAAGCCCCCCACGTCACTGTCCTGCCCCTTCCCTAGGCCCATGCTGGACTGGTCAGCCTTAGGGGGTCTTCAAAAGTGTGGCTGTTTTGTTCACTTTTAAAATACAGTACTAATATTTATGGATATTTGCTAATTTAAGTATTCCATGGTTTGCAGCAATATAACTTCAGCCCTAAAATATCTGGTGAAGAGACTTTGGTGGTAGAACTCAGTGACTTTGCTCACTGTAGCATTATGCCGCTGGGGTTTGCTTGTCCCAAGTTAAAAGTTATGTGTCCCTTATGGCTTTGAACACTCACCCTCTCCTCCAAAATTTTCTGCAGGGGGCCTGGTTACTCAATAAAGCCCAAGGGGAGAATCCCAGGCTTCAGTGGTGTTTGACGGATGACAAATCTTAATCTAGTGTTATATCAGGGTGCAAAAAGCCTCCAGAAGTCAAGGCAAGTAATGTATAAATGGCGTAGATTGTGTTCTCTTTATTTTTAATTCACATCGCAAAAACAAACACAACTTCACTCAGAAAAACAGTCACTATTAAAGTATCCTAAGTTGGAAAGCACTACAATTTCATTGGAGGGTCTGGCAAGCGATTCCCTTCCAGGGTTATAAAGTCAGATTGGAACTTGCCCTAGAAAGGTTTGCCTTGGGGCACACCACCACTCACTCCAGTTCTCCATTCCACAGCGGCGGGGGCCTACTCCGCCTCCCCCCATTTGTGGCCACCATAAGTAACTTCTCCCGAATAGGCGGCGACTTGTGGGGGCCTAGGGCAAGCTCCGCTTGCTTAGACTGCATTTTATTTTATTTAGAGCATAGTTTGCATAATAAAATTAAGAGGATCCCATTATTCCCCTTTTCTCCCCAAGCACTAAGGCACGCAGAGCTGCCTTCAGAAGTCGACTTAGCATTCATTGTTTTTCTATGGAAAGGAAAGAATGAAAAGAGATTTTTAAAAAGAGGGGGGCAAAGGGAGAAGGGTACGGTAAAAGGAGTGAGGTAGGAAAAAAAGCAGGGTGAGATGGAGGCGACTGGGGACAGAGCAGCCAAGAGAGAGAAATATAGGGGTGCAGCGTAGCGAAGAGGTAAACGCTGAGTCACCCTAACAGGTCATTAAGTACACAGGAGCGAGATGCCGCAGCCCCGGAAAAACCTAGTGCAAATAGCACCCCATCTTCTAGGCCTCCTTCGTGTAGGAGCGCAGACTTGGAGCTCGGCGCCGCCCGCTCGCCTTTGTCACTGGCTCGGTGCGCGGCCGCGGGCTCCCGCGGTGGGCTTTGTTCTGGCAGAGCAGGGCAGGACCCCTCGCACCAATGCGTCCCCGCCTTCGCGGAGCTGGGGACGGTGGGGGTGGGGACAGCGCGCCAGGGACTGGGACCAGAGGAGCATCGGCCGGCGCCTCCCAGCCTGGGATTTCGTTCCTTTGCCCCTTTTCGTAATTGAGCCTTTACCCCTTGGGGAGGAGGACAGGGTTGAGAGGGAGGAGGGACAGCGGGAAAGGGGGCCCGGCTCTTAGCCCGAGGCAAGGACGAGGTACAGCCTTCATGCCTGCGTCCGTGGATTTGTATTGGATGCATGGATGCATGGATGCATGAGGACAACCGCTGAATTTGGTCCCATTTTTCTGGCCGAGGTTTTGGTAGCTGCAGGGCGCCCCAGGTCGGTGCCCGGTTATCCCCTAAGATCTGCTCTGGAGGTGCTTTGGGGCCGCGGGTGGGCGCTGTGGACGCACCCTGGGTCCGGAGGCTGCTCAGAGAGAGCGCACAGATCCCCGTGGTGGAGGCCTGTGGCGGGGGACAAAGAGGCAGACACTCGGAGCAAGCAGAGGGCAGGCGCGCACATACACCCACGCGCGTACCCCACCCAGGGCTCCTCCCCATGAGTCCCCGCGCCTGTGAGCCCAGGGCTCTGCATCTGGAAGGTTCGCCCGTTGCAGAGCCCGCTCACTTCTCTCACCATTGCCATTTACCAAACGGCGTGTGAACGTGTGTCACCTTCTCCCTAGCCACCCCCCAAGGTGTGGGCAGATTGCAAGAGTTGCTGCTCTGTTATTGTTTGTCAAACAGGCCCTTTCTCTTGGGAGAGGGTCGAGGGGCATGTGGCGGATCCCGGGCCAGGATTACATTAATCAAAGCATTATTTCCCCAGAGATGCCAAGCACAAATGAGAGTAAATCCTAATAAAATTGGATCGCGGAGAAATGGTACGCTTAAAGTAATCTGTGCTGCCTGATAAAAAAATCTCACATTTATAAGATGTGGGTTTTTAAAAAAATTCCGCACACCTCTGGCTTGGTTTGGCTGTTGGGTCCGGGTCAGGACGGGGGGGACAGTCACCACCCACAACTCAGGTGAACTTCTGGAGTGAGAAAGGGACGTGGACACCCCGGAGTTCGAGGTTTCACAAAGTCAGGTCGACTCCAAGGGCACTTTTGGCCCTGGGCGCCCCCCTGTAGTATCTGCAGAGCCGCTGGGCCGGATTGAGTCCCCTTCGGTGCCCTGAGAGTACGCGAACTCTGTGGCTCTGGGATCGTGGTCCCCACTTTCCTCCTCCAGCGAAACTGCAGGGTGCGCAAGTCCCCGAGGGTAGGGGCGCAGAGCTCACCAAGTGGGAAAGCGTTTCGCTATCTGGTCAGGGCCGGGCGGCAGGGCGCCGTGAGTACAGCAGATTCCTGGTTCTCCTCTGGCCCCCAGCCCAGGGCTCGCCGCGTCCGCGCGGCCGTGTCTTAGGCGGCCTCGGTTACCCTCGGCCAGGGAAGGGGCGTGCGTTTGAGGGTGACTGCTGGGCAGGCCAAGGGCGCAGCTCGCCGAGTGATACTTTCGGGTCGTCCCAGCCAGGAATCAAGGCTCGCACTCCATCCGCCTTCGTCCCCCAAGTGGTTGGAAACTCTCCAACGCGGTGCGCGGCTCTGCGAGGACAGAAAAATCAAAGCTCCCCCACCCCGCCCCCAGAGCAGTGATTAACCCAAGCAAGCCAGGAGGCAAACTCCCCAGTAGCTCGAGGCCTCCTGCAGCCGCCAAGACCGGAAAGTGGACTGCGAAGCCTCGCGGCCCCTCATTGGTGACAAGTGTGACAACACTGTCCCAATCCTGCGGCTGAGCACCAGCCTCAGGACTCCGCCCGACCTTTCGAGAGGCGCGGGTGCAACCGGCTTCTGTCCGGGTCCTCCGCCGGCCCCTCCTCCGCGCCCGGGGCTGGCGGCTGGGTCCCGGCGGGGCGCGAACGCGCGGGCGCCCCCTGCAGGCCAGCGCCGGAGGAGCCCGCGCGCCGCCCCGGGTCGTGCCAGGCTGCCTGGGTTCTCCGCGCCGCCCACGTCCTGGCCCAGCCAGCGCGCACACGCACCCCGCGCCGCGTGCTTTTCCAAAGGCGACCTCCCAGCGGCGGAGGAGTGGCGGGCGGGGGCTGAGGGCATAGAGGCTGGCGCAGTGAGGGATGCAGCGGCGTCACCCCTTCACGGCCCCTGCCCACCCCAGGTCGGCCGCTCCGCTCCCGCTTCCTTTCCGGTCCGCGCCGTGCAGCCCCCGCTGGTGCCGGCGGCTGCGCGCCTTGTTCCCCGCCCGCGGGCTCCGGAGCTCGAAGAGCCGCACTGTGCGCTCGGCGGGGCTGGGCCGCCTCACCTCGTTCAAGCGCGCCTCTGTAGGGCCGCTTCCTGGGCAGTCTGGCGAGGAGAGCGGCTTGGAGCAGTGTGCGTGTGCGAGTGTGGGCGAGGGCGGGTGTGCGGGTGAGTGCGGTGCGCGCGCAGGGCAGGGCAGGAGGCGTTACAGCATGCTCTGGTGCAGGCGTAACCTTTTCAGCCTTGAGATCTAAATCTGCAACCCTATAGTTTATCCCGCCCCCCCCCTCACACACACAAATGCGTCTACTTCTTTCGCCTCCATCCCATCTGATTCCCAAAGAGATCCCTCTTGCGGTCCAGGGATATTCATGGACACCCTGACTCACGTGAGCGAGGGTTGGGCTGAAAGGGACAATGTTCGCTGAGAAATGCCACCGAGAGCTTTTCCATCCTCTAGCCTGCTCTTTAGACTGAATTTTCCCCTCCGGGAAGCCACGTTTCAGGAGCGTGTGAATCTTCGTCCTCTCTGTCTTGGCTTTAAAAATTGCTTGCATGGAGGTTGTTTTTAATTTTGGAGGCATAAGGACGCGGCAGAAATCAACTGAAAAATCACTTTTTGGGTGTCCTGTTATGTACCACTGTCCTCAGTCCCTTTCCAATGTACTGGCTCCTTTCCAGTGATGAGAATTTTTTTTGGGGGGGAGGGGTAGAAGTGAAGACACCCACACCTTTTCAGTTTTAAAATAACGACTGCCTTTTCCTCCAGTCTGTGATTTCCATAATTTTATTACGAAACAGGGCTGTCAGTTATCTCTCATTAGAAAAGAAGAAAGCAGACTAGCAGAAGAAAACTTGGGCCAAATGACGTTCCTCCTCCTGCAAACATTAACCAGTCCCGTCCGGTCTGTTCAACTCTCAAGGGAAAAACAGGACAGAGAGAATCAGAAAAAGGTGAAATATTTCTCTCTGTCACTGAGAATATGAACCTGATTGCCAAACTGTATTTTTGATAACCCGAGATTCAGAGTACCCTAAAAAGAAACTTTATGAATACTTTTAGTTGCCCTCTTTTGGCCCTAATGTTGCAACTGAGGATTTTCAATAATTTAGAAATAGTGGTGTATATTTTTTTGTGTCTTGGATTATTAATATTCGGTGGTTTTACTATTAGCCATAAGTCTTTATAAGCTCTCTTGTCTTGGAGAAAGGCTCTCAGTAAAATTTGCAAGCACTCAAGAGAACCTCATCAGCCAGTATCTTGATGCAATTTTGAACACTCTTTTTCATAAGAGAATTTGTAGACAGCTAAATTTTAATAAGAATGTTAATGTTAAAATGTTAATGTTAAAATAGATGAACTTTTGTCTTTAGAATCAAAGTTTAGCTTTTCTTTGAATTATTTATCAAGCTGTTTGCCCACAGGCCTTCCTAAGAGAAGGGAAAGGTGAAGGGGAGGGTATCACTCATTGATTTAAAGCATATGTGGGCACAAGGTTATAAAACTAGCCTTTTGGAAAACAATAAATAAGTAAACCACATCTATAAACACCCACCTTTGGGACTGTGGAAAAAAGAAAACCTAATTACTTTCATAGAAAACAGCACTCAGTTAACAGTTAACGAGAATATTGTATGGCAGTTCTTAGAAGCTCCTCCTACTTCAGTATAGAACTTTTGGTAATGTACACATATTTATACATGATGTAAATATACATATGCACATGAGTAGATGTTTATGTACATAATGTAACAAAATATATACATTCCCCAAGTGAATACATTAGCATATAACAAGCCCATGTGTAATATACCAAACTTCTGTGATTAACAATGCATTCTGTAACAGATAGCCTTAAAATAAGAGTAAGAGTGAGTAAATCTTAAGGCTATTAAAAACAAATTCTAAATTTTCTTTTGAAATCTAAATTGTGCCAACTGTACACGACACCACAGAAATCTATAAATAATACATGCACAGTATTAATATTTTAAGCACACCCCATTTAAAAGTACTATGAACTTTAACTTATTTTACATAAAATAAAAAAGCATACTTCAGAATGCACATTTAAAATATAAACATTCTATATTAATTCACTTATTTTTTGTCTCTACCCCCGCCCCCCCCCCAATTAAATACTGTTGTCTTAGAACAAAAATTATATCCTGGACACAAATAAAAAAGAACATTAGCTTTGTTTTCCATTCTACTGTAAAGAACACATTTTTAAGTAGTTTAATTTTGTGGGCTTTTATATCATTAAAAGACATTGAGTGGTCTAGTGATAATGCAAAATGTAAAAGCAAATTTGAAGCATATATTTATACTTGAAATGATTTGTATAATATGGGATGACATGTTGCTTCTTGTTAGTATTTTGAATTTTTGCATTTTCAAAGGCTTTTTGGGGATTAAATTTAGAATTAGAGTTAAAATGAGTACATTGGCAAGAACCCAATGCTCATTTGTGCTGAGCAAATGTACAGAAATGTTATACTTCAACAGCTATTTGCCCTAGTTGATAAAGGAATCAAAAATAAAATTTTGAAATTTTCTTGAAGGCCATAATAGAAGGAGCTCTCTCATGTAATAAGAGTTATTTTTACTAATGTTATAAAATATTTTGTTGGCTTTTCTATGTTTATGTAAATGTATATTTCTTTACTGAAAACATATATGATGTTTATGATGGCATTTATTCCCACATGTAATTTATCACTTATTTATTTCAGACAGAATGTTTCAAAGACTGATGTCTCATCGGTGGTGTCTAAATATTAGTACGAGCTTTAGTGACAAAAATTAAATCAGTTTTGTCGAACTGCGTTTTGAGTTTTTTTTTTTGTTTTTTTTTCCTCCTCTCTTAAAAAGTTTGAAGTTAAAAATCATGGAAATACCACAAATGAAAAATTTTCAAAGGCGTATTACTTGAAAAGAGGTACAAACATTTCACTTGAGATGGGGTTTCAAATCAACAGCAAAAATAAGTTAGTCTTTTATTTTAGAAAGTTTTCTATCTGATGGTGTGACATAAGGAAACATAAACTATAAATGTTTTAAAAATGAACAATGTTCATGCAAAACATTGGATGAAGAGTTATTCTCTACAAAAAATGTAAAATAATATTTTTTGTTGATTTAATTAATGAAGTGAGTAAAGGACTATTTTAGTAGGCTCAAGTTACACACATAGAAAGATTTATACAAATAAATATTTTGGCATCCTGTGGCCTAAAAGCAGACGGAACTATAATATAGCAAATAAAACGCTCCAGAATGTAGACATCCAAGATTCAATTTCATTAAAAAATTTGGCAGTTAAAGAAAAGAAGGAAAAATGCTTATTAAGTCAGGGCAACTATAAAATGTTGACAGATCTTAAGTTTCATATCTAACGGGGCTCTTAGAAAACTGCTAGGATGTTGGTGAAGTACACAGGTTATTCTGTCAAACTATTTTTCATAGTGAATATCTTTTCAGTACCCTCAAATTTAAACTCCAACTTTATAGACTACCCATTTTTAACCAACCTACTCTCTTTCTTTCTTTCTTTTTCAAGTCTGTAAGCAGTTGGGTGAGGTTAATTCAGTAAGGTTCAGAGACACCCAAGGGGGATTTAAGGTATTCAGCCTCAATGTTTAGACATTATCAGTGACACACATTGAGGTGAGATGTATCTGTGTTCTCTCAAACATTTATTTTCTTTCCTCATCCACCTACCAGCGTCTTTTAAAGAGAGAACCAGGCGACGTCTACTGAAGGCAAAATAAATTGGAGAATTGAATTAATTATCTGGAGAACTCAGGCATTGCTGCTTTCCCTTCCACCTCCCTATTAAGAAAAGAAAGAAGACACAGTGAAATTTGAACAATCCAGATTGGCTATCTGTAGTGATTCAAATTGTAAGATAGCTAATTCTATAAGCTATTGCTTGACTCCTCAGTCTCAGTGTTCCGAGAGATGGAGCACACACCTGAATGGACCGCCAGTTGAGACATTTACCAGATTTAAATAAAGAGAGTTAAGGGGCCTGACTTGCCAGGTTTGGCTGAGAACATTGATTGAAGTTATTAGATAATTGTTCACCTTTCTACTTAGCCCCATGAGAGGAGACACACACATATATTATAAAATACTTTAAATTAATATTAAATAGTCCAACTGGGATTGCTAGAGTTATTTACATTTAGCAATGGATTAAAATGTTAACATCATACATTTAATGAATTAGAATCTTAGTCTCCTTGTATGCCCTGACTTGGAAACATCAGCTGAACACATTTTCAAGGATCTTTTAGGAAGAACAATTTTCTCAGTGTAATTTGGTGAATTGAAAGCTACAATCCCTTTACTTCCTGGGGGGGGGGGACAAAAATCGAGAGAATAAGAGAGGACAATGTTATACATTGTGGGTGGTAATTAGACCCATAGACTATTTTAAAGTAGTTTTTGGTAGAGTAGGATAAGATTGAGCATGATTTGAGTTTAGTCTAAATAACATTTGTAAACATTAATTATAGGGGATTTTAAAAAAAGATATCTAATCACAAATATTATTTAAAAAAGAGCACCTAATAAGCTTTGCTTTCTTTCTCAAATATTTCTGGGAAATTATGTCACTACATTTCACATTCATCTAATTGAACAACTGAAGTATTGTTCTAACATGTAAAGCATGAATACTCCAAGAACAAATAGAAATGTAGGCTAGATAAAAAGAAAATGTTGCCAATTTCTTATTTGCTGTAATTCCAGGAGGGAGTAACCAGGTGAAAATGATGGGCTGGTAGCTTTATGTTTATAAAGTCATTTTATTACACTAACAGGAATTATATCCTTTGTATTAACCTTAGAAAAAGTGTGATAACCTATTGAAATTTTTAATGATGCCTATCCCTAGACACACATAAAAATAGGGAAGTACATGATGGCTTTAATATCTGCACAGAAATTAAACATGTCGAAAGATTTAATGAATAGATGAACGAAGGATGTTTAACACTGGGCAGTTAGACCTCAGATTGTACATTTGCTGGTTTTAACTGTTAGTCATCCTATGCTATTTTCCCTCCTTGCGCCTCCAAAAATTTATGCAATGTGAAATTGTTACAGAATCACTAATTATTCCTCACTCCAGACCCTTTTCAATAAAGCGATGCCATCCACTGAAGATTTATGGTAAAACAAGACAAAAGACATATTATTAGGAAGTTCTCCTGTCATAAGAATTTACAAGATTTTTTTGGAAATGATACCTAAAGGAATATTTTCTTTTTTGCTTCTTTCTTTCCTCATTTTAGAGTTAGGGCCTTATTCTCCATGTTGGCCATTGATCATGGTGGGGGCTGTTGAGAGGTAGCCATGTAATTTCTTTATCTTTCACCTGCAAATTACACACATTATTTTGCAGCTCAAAATAAGCATTCGCAATGAGTTGCATTCAGTAAATGTCTTTCACAGCATTAGTACAGAACCGAGGTACAAAAGAATATTAATCTAATACATTCCAAAATTCAAATACTTGTGATTAATAAGCATTATTATCTATAAATAAGGCCCTAATGATACTTTGGCAGTGTTGTAAACACAAGAATCAGAGGCAATTATTGTCATTATTGTTCGGCAAGTACTTCCCATGAATACCAAATGGGTATTGCTGTCCAGCTACTTGGCAAGTAAGGTTCCTATAAAGAAACAGATGTTGGCCAATCAGGACTGGCTGCCATTAACTGCCCTTAGCCCCAAAGGCAGTCCTGAAAGAAAGAAAGAAAGAAAGAAAGAAAGAAAGAAAGAAAGAAAGAAAGAAAGAAAGAAAGAAAGAAAAAAGCCCAAGATATTAAAACAGTGTTGACACGATTTAAAAAAATGCCCTTTATATTAAATATAAAAGCATCTTGAAAATAATGCTGTTCTCCAACATTGAGTTTAGTGAATGGCTGTATTAGCAGCCATTGTGTGGCCGGAAGTAAAGGTCCCATTTGTGAGGCTCTAGACCCAGTATGATGAGGTGCCCTTGAAGTCTAATCAGTGGACAACAAAAAATAAACTGCCCCATACAGGGATAACCCTTCAAAGAGCGTGGGCGTGACCACGTCCTGATCTTTTTTCCCTTCCTCAGGCCACACAGAGCTCACTCCCCTCTGTTAACGGGACCAGCCCACCAGGCCCAGCTCCACCAGGCCAGCGTGTGTGTGTGTGTGTGTGTGTGTGTGTGTGTGTGTGTGTGTGTGTGTGTGTTGTGGGGGGAAGCTGCTGTAGTACAAGTTAAAGCAAGTTGCTCATACTCACAGACGACTCGACACAGGCCCCTAGCCTCACATTCGCTCTGCTCTCTGAGTCTTAGAAGTCAAGGCAGAGCCGGTTTGGTTGTGTCAATGTGCTGATTTTAGGTTGCAGTCCTAGTAAATTCAGTGGCATTGGCTAACAGCTAAAGTGGTTTCTGTGGAGAAGAGAAAAAGCATTTCGTATACATTTTCCTAAGGGATAGGTGCATGAAGCATCAAATATACTAGATTTGTTGTCTATTTTCAAATCTTGTGCCAAGCCTTATGTTTTAAAGATGTTGCAGATCTGCATGGCGGGGGTTGAGAAAGTGTAGAATTGGTTCCCTAAGGCGTGGGAGAAACTTAGAGAGAAGTGGGGTGGCAGTGCGGTAGGTGATGTTGCCAAGAAACACCCTTTTTGCCAACCGTTATTGTTGGCTGTCTGTTTTAGCGGGGCATGTTCTTTATGGAGAAGGCATTGTTGATTAGGGTGAGTGAGATTGTTTTGTATGGACTACCCCGGACCCCAACCCCTCAACAGACACCTCTGTATAATCACTTCATGTTTGATCAGATTCCCCCTTCTTGCCCTCAGGGAACCGAAACAGAAGGGGTTTCGTTGCTCTCACAATAAATTCGCAGGGGAACCAGGGTGATGGGCAATCTCCGAGATTTTCCTCCAGTTCCTTCTGAAAATGTCCTTGCCACCCTCAGTCTGGACTTTGTCATGGGAGCATGGTGGCTACGCTCAGGGCTGCACGTAGCTGGACTCCAAAGCTCTGGCTGACAGAGGCAGTGAGGATGTGGCCTGGGCCCTTGGGCACTCTCTCCTCTCTCCTTCCATTTTCGACTCCTCTGAATGGGCAGGAGGGAGAATTGTCCACCAGAATTTAGCAGCCCGTGCTCAGTCTTTGCATGGGGAGATGAGAAGTGGTGAACTCTTCCAAGCAAGTCTTTCCTCATTTCTATGCATAATGACTCAAAAGAGAATTTCTATAATGACAACAATAATAATAATGACAATTTTACTAAGCACTTACCATGTACTGGGTGGGTATTAAAACATGCATCTGATGGGCATTGTCCTATTTAAGCCTCTAAACACCCTTTGAATTACAGCTGGTACCCAGGTTTGACAGATGAGTCAATTGAGGCATATGGGGCTAAGTCACCTGCCAAGGTCATGTGGAGCAGGTACCCAGTTGTGAAGGTCAGTCATATCTCTTAGAGACAGTGTGCTTTTAACAGCACTACTTTAGTGCTTTCCAAACTCTTGGACACCCTTCTGGTTCCCCCCTATCTTGGAGTTCTCCAGATGTCTCCCGTTTGGGGACACCTCTGTGCTAGCTTTCGAAGCAATCCTATGACATTTGTGAGTGCAGTGGCCCCACCAGTCTCTTGTCAAAATAAGCATGGTAAAGGCTTTTTAAGGCTTCCTTTACACACCATTACTATAGCCAGCCACATCTCCCAGCCCTACGTGATCGTAAGAACAGAGTAAGCCTCGCCATATTAACCTGCAACCATGACTGCGATTTGA